GCGAGAGAAAGAACTGTAGGGATTATTTTCAGATAAAGTGCAGTGATTTTCACGAGTTCAGTGAAGATAAATGAAAGAGCGCACTACCACAGGAAATCAATCACATATCAGTGAATTGTATCCTGCTGTGCTAAACAAACAGCTGAAAGTCTGCTAAAGGTCAGGTTTACTTTCTCGCAGTGAGCGATTTAATTTCTCCTGTGCTTACTTTTTCTAGCAGGTTGATTTCAGGAAACGGCGTTCCAGACTCGGCTCCTTCTGCAGCAAAGCCAGCCTGGAGGAGGGTATTACAACAAGTCAAAGTCACGCCATTATCACAGTGTTACCTAAAACACACTACCAGATTGCATAGATAGCATCAGCTTCATTACATAACATAAAAGATAGAGCGAAAGAGGTTCTTGCAGGGTTGAACCCTGACACACTGTCACAGGCAAACAGCACTGGTGTGCTGGACATGTGCTCTACAAAGCAAGCCCAGATTTGGCCGATTACCCTCTCCAAATGTTTATGACATCAAATATTGTAACCTCAACTTTTTTTATTACATTGTTGTAATAAACGGGCAAAAAGGTGATCCATCAAAAACCTTTTTTTTCATACAGGATAAAAATGATTCTCACTTGTGGCTGGAAATCAACGGGCTCCAGACCTCGACACTCGAACTGCACCATCGTCTTGAAGGTTTCGCTGTTCTCGGCCTTCAACCCAGCAGACACGACGCAACATTAGAGAAAGAGAAACTGAAAAACCTGAGAACTGACCGTGGACGTTTGCTTACATTGTAAGGTGTGATTGTGTCTCCCAGAATATCTGCAAGGAAAAAGTTGACATTTTGTAAGCTTTTAACTCTGCAAATTAAGACAAGATGAGCCGGACGTCATGTCACGGCCTACCGATGGAATTTTCCCTGGAACAGAGTTTACACTTCTGCACCATGCTGGCGCTTCCTCGTCCTCCCTTGAGTGGCACACTCTCCTGTGAAGGCAAACACAAAGTACAGGTGGTATATTATATACGTGCAATTCTATAATAATAATAATAATAATGTTAAACTGAATAGAAAAATTGCCCTTTCTTCCTTACCACCAGAGTTACATACTGCCATTTATCTGGAATTTCTCCACAGTTTCCACACTTGAGCTAAATTTAAGGCAAAACATAAAAGAAACACATAAATGATCTTTTAAAAAAATAATGTTTACATGTTTCATTATTTAGTGAGTATGTGTCAGCATTACACATGGTTAAATTAAGGAAATGATCAAAGATTAGCAGAGAGGAAAAGTGCATGATATTTTATTATGGATGAAAACAGTTTAGCATGTTAGCTTCTCATACCTTCAGGAACCAGCGGAAGTCGTCCCCCAATGGTCTAACATTGGTGACGTTCTCCAGGGTGGCTTTAAACTGCAGTCCAAATTTCTGCCGTGCACAGGACAGAATAGGTGGTTAAAACTAACATAATAACAGCAGAAATTACCCCAGAGACTCGCAGCAGCAGTACGTACCACCATCTTGAAGCTTCCCCGCTGACAACTTCCTGAGGCATTCAGGACACGTCGTAAATTCTAACTTCCAAACCACTGACAGCTATTTTAAATTTTGCATTTTTTTCAGTTCATCTCAAAAACAATCATAACATAGAAATAAATAGTCGTTATAGGAATGAATGCACCATGCTTGCAGGAGACTAATAAACTAAAAATAAGTAATCTTTTATTACGTATCTGCTCATTTTGTTGCCTAAATGAGGCATTTCAGCTGTTTCTACTAAAACTTTGCATTAAGCTCAATTACAAAATCTTTCGGCTCTGATGGCCGTCAGAATTTCTTCAGAACTATATCAAAAACAATATCAAAGTACATTTTAAATCACCAATGCTAAAGCAGGACGGACGTGCGCCATCTAGCGGATGTACCAAATACAACATGAACTGTTTCTCTGTGAAATGCATTTAAATTGGTAAAATAATCACAAAGCTACAAAAACCGCATCAGTTTATTAACCGTTCAAATATAAATCACCAAACAAATCATTATCAAGTCATCATACAGTACAAATCTTATGGTACAAATTATTAAATTAAGCACATTAAAAAATGGATCCAGCTGTTTGTTTTTTGTTTCTTTATTGTAACCTTTTCATAGTGGAAACTGCAAGTGTGAATACTTATTAGACATTTTAACCTGAGGCATCTTCACAGAGGCATTGTGGTGGATCTTGGTGGTTAATGGCCACACACCTGGGATAAGTGATATTGCTGTACCTGGCATTTCAAATCCATTGGTATCAACCTGAGTATATACATGCCAGCTCGAACTCGACAACTCATTTGTCCATGTGAACGTGAGCAAATTGTAGAAGAGGGAGGAGTATAGAAAAGCAATTCACAGATTTGAACACTTTGCTCACAAACCAAAGTCTGTGCCATTGAAAACACAAGGATCTGTATAAGCTTCAGTCATTACACATGTGAGCCATTTAGACAGGACAACTAACCCCATAATTAACAGTTGCACTAGACATAGTTATCAGAGCACTCAGTTGAACCCTCAGGCATTTGGCTTCATTGATCTGCTAGTAGTGTTATTCTGCACGTAGCAACTGGTACCGAAAAATAAAAAGAAATTGTGTTTCTTCTGTTACAGGCATACAAAAGGTGCGGACACTACAATACACTTAACACAAACGAGAAAAACCAGGAACTGAATGAAAATTGTTGGAGACACTCCCAAGATTGTCAGTGCAAATCTAGCTAGAGTGCACCTGATTCATCACTTGTCTAACTCGCGTTCCTTTCAGAACACTAAACATGTCATCAGATTTCCCCCCC